CCCAATTTGCTCTAAATTGCCTTGGAAAAGCTTGTAGTGTAGCTGAGGATGCTGAATATGATTTGCAGTAGAGGTGTTTTTGAGTCTCTGGAGGTATGGTGCAATAAGAATATGCTCTTGAGTTCTGAGGGAAATGTGACTCAGTAACCTGCTCCAGAGTACCGTAAGCTTCTCCAGCAACCGCTGGTTTCAGACTTGGAAAATAAGTATGGAAAAGTGCAACTTTAGTGTGTGAAATCGGTTGCCACAAGGAGTCAGTGAACACGAAACTTTCGTTACAAAAGGGGAGAAATTATTAATAACTTGTTCGTGTGTTTGGGTTTTCTTCCTCCCGTCATTTTTATGTTCTTACGTGCTCACATTCTTGAGTGACCTTTGTAATTTAAAAAAAAAGTCTTTTGGTTTGTTTTTCTTTCAAATGACAACTTACTCTCTTGTAACACAGGCTTAGATGAGGTAGAGACAAGAATGTTTGATTGTTACTTTATATCCATTGTGTGTTGAGAACATGGCAAAACAGCAAACTGAGGAATTCTCAGGGGTTAGGTTTTCTGCAATTGGTGTGACATTACCATGTGTCTCTAATTAGAAACATGGTGGCGTCAGTGTATCTCCTTTCAACAGGCCTCAGGATGATATTTATCAGCAAACTGAAGGTTGGGCCAAGACAGAAGCTGCTTCTAATTTTAAAAATTGCTTTAATGTTTTATGACTTATAACATATTAATCACAATTAATTTCAGCTATTGAAGGAGACAGAAGAGAATGTTAATTAAGAATGTCTGTTTAGTTGAGTCTCTAAGTAAATTTGATGCTTACTGTATTTGAGACTCCGAGGTAGGCTGGGTTTTGGGGATTTAAGCTGCGTTTTGTCCTTTAGTGTTTCACAAAATGACAGTAGGGGGCAATGTTGAGCCGCAGTTTTAATGCAACAACAGGCACTGACTTAATAAAAATACATAGAAATGTAGCATTAACATCAAGAATTATCCCTGTTGCTTCAAGTTAGCTGTAATCTCTAAGATTCCATAACACAGGAAATCAATTGTGGGTTAACAAATTCAACAGCAATTTAACATAAAATGTGCAGTGTTTTGGTGCATGCCTAGCTTCCACAGCATTAAGTTAAATCAAAAAGGTATTTCTGAAGGTACCCAGTAGTCTACAGTCAATGTTTGGGGTTTTTTTTTCAAATTTGTAATTTTAGCTGAATGATTCTTTAACCAAAAAAAAAAAAAAAGTCAAAATGCTAAAGATAAAAATGTCTTAGAATTGCTGGACTTTTTTCAGAAGAATATTTTTGCTTAAGAGGAATTATTTCTTAGATGAAAAATACTTAAGCAATGTATTTTTCTCACTTTTGTGTGTGAACTGAACAAGTCTTGACTTACATATATATTTTTTTATATATATGTGTCTAGAGTGTTTCCAAAATAATTGCTGATTCTGTTAATTGTAATTACTCCAGTGTCACAGCAGAGAATGATACTGCAGGAAGTTTAACCCAGTGTCTTCAAACCTTTGGGCTTTATTTAATATTTTTGTACATTATAGCAAGCACACAATTTTATCATAATGTTTATTCCTGGCATTTCTTTCCCTGAGGATAGTTTTACTTAGAGCTTGCTCTTGTGATGTAAATGTTAAACCTTTCATTTGAATGACATTCTGATAAAACATCACATTTCCCACAATATTACCTCATGAATTTATGAACTATTAAATCCAAAGCAGTTTAACCAATCTTCTTGTCTTTTCCCCCCTGCCATGAAAATATGAAGGCTATTCAAATGTTTGAGGTTTTTTTTTTTTTTTTTTAAAAGTCATCCAAGATTAACACGTTATCGACTGCAACATCAGGATAAATGCTTGCTGAATTCAAAGGGAGAGTTACCATTTGAAAAAAGACTGTACAAGCTTTGCTTTCTGGGTAAAGAGAAGTCTGAAAAGCTGAAATCTCATGTGATGTGAGGAAGTCTTGCTGTAGCTGTTCTGAGATTCAGTGGAGAGACAATTTGTCTCTCAGGGTCTGATATCATGCAAACCTTGCAATCTGACATTTATTTTACCTATGAAAATGTTTTAACACCATGGCAAATCAGTGAGAACTGCAGAAATCCTACAGTCTTTTTGTGTTTGTTTTGTTTTAGGTTGATTCACATGTGCGTAAGTAAAAGGTAAATCAATTAAATGTTTTTTGCTTGCGGAATGAAAAGTAAACACATGATTATACTTCAGTACAAAATCTTTAAAGATTCTTTTAACATATCTAGTGTTCCTTTAAAAAAAATAGAATAAAATAAATGAAGACCCTAGTAGTGCTATATGGCATGAATTGTATTTCCTGCTTTGACAGTCCATTTAGCAATGTAGCAATGTATTTATATGGTGGTTGGCCTTAATAACCTTTATTGACTTTAGTGGGTAAGAGCCAAGGCTGGGATTATTAAAATGTATCAGTTTCATTGCAGTATAAAATCACAACATATATAATTATGTTAGGTAGGCTAGGCTCCATTTAATCCCACCTATTTATGCAGGAATTTGGCAAGATGAAAAAACCGTAGAACTAAAATGTAGAGAAAAATACGACTGATTTGGAGTTATATTTAAAAGCATAACCATTTGCCTACAATAAAGGGTCTACTTGAAAGAATGAAGCAGATCTTAAAGAACTAATTTTTAATGGTGTAACTGAAACACAAGTAATTGTTACACAATTTGTTTCACTTTTTGGCATCCCAAAATACAGCTAATGATAATGAAATGCAGCACACCTTTTAATTTATAAATACAGTGTAAAAGCAGAAGCCGTACATTTTCTAGGTGTAAAGAGCAAAGGGGCATTTTTTGCAAAGGAGTATCTTTCTGTACAACTTTCATCTTGATTCGTAAAACTTCTTTTAAACTATTTTTACTAGTCATGTTTTCATTGTTATTTTCAACAGCTTGCTTTTATCAGTTTATACAACTAAACTGAAATCAGAGAGCAAAGCTATTTTCTTGTAAAATTGTTTTCTTTTCTTTTCTTTTTGAAGCCTATTTCATTATTTGCTACTGTTGCTACATGTGAAGTATGTCATAGTTTCAGCTGTAAGCCACTATTGTCAGGGGCTTACCAGCCTGACAGTTAGAATTGGATCTAGGCTGAAACTTGAGCTACAAAATCTCAGCCCAGGGCCATCATTTTTTTTTTTTAATATATATTTTTTAATTTTATTTTTCTCCTCAAATTATAACAATGGTTTAAGTATGTGTTTTAATCAGAGTATTTCAGTTCTGGAATAACCATGAAAAGCTGTAAGACAAAGTATGCTTTTAGGGGGAATCCTCCTAGCTTTCGTAGACTTTGGCACTTTAAACAGCAAACCAATTACATTTAAAAAAATAAAATAAAATAGATAATGGGATCACAAACAGGCTGGTTGGTTGTTTAGCCTTTGTCAGAAAATGCAGAGCAACTAAACTGACATTTGAATTGGTTTGACCTTGTCAGACAAAATTAAAGAAATTCCGAGGTATTATTTTAATTTCTCTTTTAGTTTTCCTTTTGTGCTTAGATATCGTAGTGTCTCACTCCTTTCTTGGAGGGCCATGTGGTGATGGGCGATCATATTTGCCTAATGAGCTGTGAAATTTAGGCACAACATGGCAGCTCAAAGACCCAAATTTTAGCCATATTTCTTGTCTTTTGGAATTGTCGTTATCTATTATTCTTATCGATTATTTATTGTTGTTTAGGCCAGACCCTTTAAATAAACGTGTTTTGAGCAGGTTATATTTTATGTACACTGGGAGTCAGATCTTTCTGGAAATGTACCTTTTATCTTAAACAGCAAGAGCAATAAAATCTGATCCTGAAGTCTTTTTTTTCTTCTTCTCTCCATTTATTTTTTTTTTTTTTTTTTTTTTTTGGCAATTTATAGGCAATATAGGACAAAGCGGTACCGATTTCCTTGACCCCAGTATTTTTAGCTGTCAGAAATGGGAGAAAGGATTCAGCATTGTGTGGGGTAGAACTGCTACCGATCTTTTTTGTTTGGTTGGTTTTGGTTTTTTTTTTTAAGGTAAAGTTATATTGCACATCTTTCAGACAAAAATATTTACAATTCTGAGGGAATTCAGACTTAAGCTTCCAAAACAACGTGTGTGCTGAAAGCACAAAGGACTGTGTTTATGATTCTCTTTGAAGTGTTTTTGCAACAGGATAAGGAAAATTTTAGAA